CAGAAGTATCCCAGGTAGCCTATACATCATATCAGCCACTGTCAGGGGTTTTCAGACGCACATAGGCGATTTAACATGTCGATCTGTATTCCAACACAACCCTGACATCACTGCTGCCGTTGAGACATTCCCCAATTATGATGTCCCTGCCACCTTTGGGAAAATGAACAGCTACACACGCTGGCACCGAGGCGACAGGGCGGTTGGCACCTTTGATGGCATCGCTGTCTACTTTCGTGGTAAGCTCGCGGTTCAGGTGATGTCTGTGGACATACCTGATCATCTGGAAATGACGTTCCTCAAGTTTCACGGAGAATCACCTATTCCGGTGTGCGTGCGCTACAGGCCCCAGTGGCAAGGCCGAGAGCCCCTTACCTATCTGCAGTCACAACTTGATGCTCTCCTACAAGCACATGAATGCAACCATACAATCAATGTCGGCGACCTAAACCAATAATATCTTGTCGCCAGAGCATATTTCATATTTCAGGTTCCTCACTTGACCTTGTCATCAGTGTCCTTAGCCCTGAAATAATTACATGTAGCCGACTGGGGACTGTTGGATCTCCGGCCACTTAGAACAAACTCTCTGGAATAAAGGCAAATGGGCCAGTATACACCACAGGCTAAGACAGGTGAACTGGGATGAAATATTGAATGGCGATATCAATGATCAGGTATCTAGTATCAATGATTAGTAATGCCTTATTAATACTACAGAGACGTTTTACACACGAATAAAGCAATGGGTGGGGACGAGATTAGTCCCGTTTTCTCAGAGGCTGTATTGACAAATTAGCAGAGCCCCTGTGTAGCTTTCCAACAACTGCCTGCAAAGGAAGCCTTGTTTGTGGAAATCTGCGATCAATAAAAAATCTGCAGCAACTGATCCTAACAATTATTTGCTCATAACTCTGCTATTTGTTGTTAGCAAGATATTGAAAGTATAATTGCTGGAAAAAAACAACTAATTAGGCACTTCGACGGCCACCGATTATTGAACGAGAAACAGTTTGTTTTTCGGGCAGAGAGATCATCCTTTGACTTACTTCTCGCCCAATCACCGTCTGAGAGTCAGGCCTTAGATGATGACCAAGACACTTATCTGATCGCACTAGACATCGCTAGTTCGTTCGACAGAGTGTGGCACCGTGGCGTCATCAGCAAGCTAAGGAGTTTCGGCATCGGAGGGAACCCCCTGGACTTTCTTCAAAACTATCTTCATGGACGATCCCTTTCCGTGGTGGTGAACGGCCACTCCTCCACCGAATGCTCCATCAGTGCCTCCGTACCCCAAGGAAGCGTCCTCAGACCTCTGTTTTGGTACGTCTTCTTTAATGTCATCTTGCAACTCATACCGGAGGCGTCCGCGCATGCCGACGACTGCACGATGGCATTCACGTGTAAGCGAGACGACCATCAACAAAGATGAGATGGCAGGTGACGCTGTCCCCAGAGAATACACCGGTAAGTCCGGAGTCTTATGTAGTATAGTCCGCTTGTTTGGTTCACCTGTTTGCCTTCATATCTTCTTCCGCTGGATGAGGTTCAGAAGAGAGCCGAGGCAACCGCTGGATGTCACACTTCAACCATTGCAACACCGGTGCAATGGTTGAAGAAGGGGGAAGACAGTGTGCCATCTTGAAAACAAGAGCTAATTAGAAGATAAAGTTGAGAAAGAAAAGAAGTTTCAAGGGAATCATGGTCAACATCCTTGCTGCCCTCAATGATCCGGTAATCCACTTCGTATCCACTCAGAATCCATCAGAGAGAGCAATAAATCCTATTATTTCCCAATACACTCATTCTCATGCACAGTTTCGCCCCCACACAGGATTTTGACAAGTCGGTTTCAAGTGTCGCCGCTTTGTTATGCAACTGTCTCATTTGCAAATTGATGACTACTTCATGGCAAGGATACAGATGTCGAGGAGAGTATCGTATTAATCTTTATCTGCTTAATCCTCTTCTATTAAGATGGCTGTTAGTTCGCTAAGGAATGACTTTGTAAACGGTGTGGATTGCATTAGCCTGAGACGTGTAGTTGCAAATTCATTTACAGATTTGGAAATTATCCCAGATTTAGGATCACTGATATGGTAAACTAATACATTTTACTTACATTTGCGTTTCCTTGTTTTAATATTCGTAATGATATGGCATAGAACTCCATGCAAGAGTAAAATAAAACTTCAAATCTCATAAAAAATAGGGTACTCTAATAGCTTCCATGGTTAAAGACGTCAAAGAAAATGAGTAAGTTCGATATGCGAAGCTGAGCCTCGCCCGGGTTATGCCCATGGGGGGAGCCCGGCCTGTGTCGACTAATGCCGACTGGCTAACGTGTGTCATCTTGTGCTGACTCGGCTGAGGATATAACTTAACTGTCCTAGTCAGAAATACATTGAAGACTAATGAATAATTTCAATCCGCTATACCAGCTAGTATGCTTAAGAATAGCATAGTTTCCCTCCTTATTTTACATTTTCTTAGGATTGCACCCGTAGAAAATGTTAATTATTTAGGATAGACTAAAACTTTTAAAGGTACAATTTGGTAATCATTTATATACATACTTGCATATATCTATCTATCTGTCTATATATATATATATATATATATATATATATATATATATATATATATATATATGTATGTGTGCGTGCGTGCGTGTGTGTGTGTGTGTGTGTGTGTGTGTGTGTGTGTGTGTGTGTGTGTGTGTGTGTGTGTGTGTGTGTGTGTGTGTGTGTGTGTGTGTGTGTGTGTGTGTGTGTGTGTGTGTGTGTGCGTGTGTGTGTGTGTGTGTGTGTGTGTGTGTGTGTGTGTGTGCAATTCTATATATTTTATTTGTTTTTATTATCATCTCTTTTATGGATGCATTTATCCTTTAGCGAGTGTAACCTCTAAGCAGTAGAGTTAAGTAAGGTTATTAACATCTAATTAGAAAATTAAGACAATATTTCTGTTTCTTCATATGCTTTCTTATGCAGTTAATTTCAAATATATGTGGAAACGTCTGTCGAGACTTTTTAACACTGTATAACTTCAAGGCTGATATACTGATATACTTTTATCTAGTGTCACTCTTTATATCGGCAAAGTGTTACATGTCATGGCCACATTTGGCTTGTTTATGAATAGTATTTACACTGATATCACAAGTGCTTAATCACCATAGAGCCAATTACTAACTCTATCTCACCTGTTTATCCTTTTTTCTTGATTTTCGGATATATTACATCTTATATCGTTTGCGATTGGTATTGTTACCGAGACTGCAATAACCATACTCTCAATACTACTAATAACAGCATCGACGACAAACAGGACTACGAAAAAAGTCCTAAGCTTAGACTTATGGTTTATTTGGAACTTTTTAAATCATTATTTCCTTATGATTTTTGTGGTTATGGGGAAAATAGTTGCTGGCGGGGCTGGAATTCTAAGGAAATTCGCCTGCTATCTGGGAAACAAGTGACAGTCGCTGACGTATTCGCAAGGCTGCAGATTTCTCTCTTTTCTCTCTCTCTCTCTCTCTCTCTCTCTCTCAGCTTAAACAAGGTGTTACTCTTTGGTTGTTGTTGTCACGGGCGGGGGAGGGGGTGGCGGGTTAGAAGATAGAGACTGATGCCCAATGATGATAATGGTATATTCCTATTGTGTTTATTCATTAATTCACTGGGAATCTCGAGAAACCAATATTGATGAAGATGCAAGCTGGTTCAATAAAAAACGACAACTTATCATCCTTACACTTATTATTTCTATCTATACAATTATAACAAATAGACAAAAAAACCGAGGCAACGCCGTTCAACCAATTCCGCTCCGGCTGCGATTCACGGGGTTGGCGGAAATTATACTTAAATAATAAGAATAACTTGTAATTTATTGAAAGAAAACAAACATACAGGATGCAAATTCCTTTTCATAACAGTCGTACTTGAATGTAGAATATAGATGTAGGACTACTGCATGACATAAATATAAATACCCTGGATTCCTCGACTCCTCGACCCACCTCCCTCATGATGCATCGAAAAGGTGAACATTGTATCCGATAGGTATAATAATGACTTTTTGACGGCTATTTGGTTGGTCAAAGTTTGATGTATTTTTTTCTGCATACATCATTCACCAAAAATATCTCATGGGATTTATTAATATATGCATGCAAAGAAAATTTACAAATGCAGTGAAATTAGTGCTGTTTTTTACTTCTCTCTCTTCATTCCTTGACATTTAAAAAAATCAAGCTCAGGTGATTATAAGATATGGACATATAGTTCCTTTTGAGAGTTTTCCTCTTATGAACTAGAGTGAATGACATATATTACCCTGCTTTTTTGGCACACCAATGCCAACACAACAGAGTACTGGCGACAGCGTAGGAGTGCGAGGTGAATGCAATTCCAGTGAAACATAAAATGAATGTTTAAAACATAATCTATGCGTAAATGACACGAAGTATGTACTAATAAAAACAAAAAAAGTATGCTTACCAGACACACAACCAATATTTTCAGTATTAGAAACCGCCCAGCACATTACATAACTGAGCAGATGCTGCAGCAGCCGGCCTCGCGCCTCTGGCTCCCTCCTGCACGCCCCTCCTCCTCTCCCTCGACCTCCATCCACACCACAGCGTCGTCGGTAAGGCCATAGTCCTTCAGCCTCAGGTCGTCCTGCATATCGGCGCCTCCTGCAGAGAGTTTCACCTTGCTCGCGCTCACGCCCGCGTCCCTCGCCGCCTCCTCTTTGACCTGGCGCACGGAGCCCTCCTCGTGGACGACCATCTTGGTAACACTTCCCGAATTTCTAGCCAGTGTGAGAAGGGATCCACGGGCGGCACGGGGTCCCGAACGAGGCTTGTGAAACCGCACTGTATCTCCGTCTTTTAATCCATAATGGAAGATCGTCTTCTCGTCGTCCAGACACCTGCCTCTGTGCGCAAGAAGAGGAACTTGCTCAGAAATCCCCTTCGAAGCGATCTTCCGCCTCAGGTCTTTGACCTTGGTCCAGGCGTGGACCTTGATGGCGTGCCGCGCACCAAAGGCTTCGACGTAGATGATCATGACGGAGGCTGGAAGGAAATGCGATGCTAATGTATGAGCGATAGAGGCTATTAGATAATGTTGACCAAAATAGTTCTCTCCATAATTACTTGCATAATGATAGTTTTTTTATGACTAGAAGAAAGAAAAAAATATATATTCCTGATGAAAGGAAGTACCAGGCGCGGTTAAGACCTTATATGTGACGTAGCCATTAAAAATATCATCTAACATTTCTGAACGACGATCACACTCGGAGCGGAACATTAATAAAAAAAAATAACTATCATTAATATTCAGTATATGGCTGTATTGTTAAAGCTAAAGGACGCTTCATGTTTATTGCTATTTACCTTAAATTTCACAAAAAATAAGCACAAAGACAAAGTTAAATTATCCAATGTAGAAATTACGGACATCAGTGCACTACACTTGACGAAATAGATTACGAAATAGTAATAATCATAATGATAACGATAATGACGACGATATAACAACTACGATAATAATCATAACAATGGTATTAGTAATTATAATAGTAATAATGATGATGGTGATGATGATAATAAAAGTAACAATGACATGTGGTATCATTGTCAAGTATTATTTCCTCTTCCCTTTTCCATACTATCAACAGTAGGGAAATGACGTCATCGAGAGAAGGCACTACGTCACACAAAACCGTGATTATTCATTGGAATTCGTGATATTAAAAAAAGAGAAAAAAAAAAATTGAGTGGCAAGTCATGATGGGGACACAGTACTATGAGTCCACCATTTGCTGTCGAGAATACATCCTTCTTAATCTCTATTTTCCACCTTTATCTCAATTACTACTTTACTTTATTACTTAAATCCGATCTCTAAGGCTTTCTACTCCCATTTGTGAGAGTATTACGGCTGGATGCCCTTTCTTACCTTGGATATTTAAAGATTTTAGCCTCAAGCCCTTCGTACACTTAAAATGGTACCCTACTATGTTTACGCACACACTCTCTCTGTCTCTACGCTATAACATGGTGTAATAATGTATACATCTAAAAAATTAGCTACTTTTAAGATCCCATATATCACGAGCATATAATCTATCATATTTATACATGCATAATATCTAAACTTCAATAACATCTGTAAACTCATAAAGATGATATACTTTTATCTAATCATCAACCTCTAAATTGTATAACCTTGTTATAATAAGCTGCCATTGAATATAATAGAGTACCCTTAAATAAAAGGGAAATGTATTGCAGGTGCAACAACAAAAACGGATAATTGATATGGTAAACTAATAAATTTTACTTACATTCGCGTTTCCTTGTTTTAATATTCTTAATAATATAGCATAGAATTCCATACGAAAGTAAAATAAAACTTCAAATCTCATAAAAGAATAGGGTACTCTAATAGCTTCCATGGTTAAAGACTTCAAGGAAAATGAGTAAGTTCGACATGCGAAGCTGAGCCTCGCCCGGGTTACGCCCATAAGGGGAGCCCGACCTAACGTGTGTCAGCTGGTGCTGACTCGGCTGAGCTTAGTCCTTACCCGCCGTGGTGCCCAGCCACAGCAGGAACCTCCAAAGACAATTGCAAATTCTCGCACCTGGCCGGGGCGCGATCCCCGGATCCCTCGTATGATAGGCCGACACGTTACTGTACTAGCCCGGAGGCTAACTACGTATTAGTCAAACTTTTTAGTTATTACCAAACGTTTAAGTCATGATAGCATGTCTTGCTTAAGCCAATGGAGGGAAGCACAGAAAAGATGGCAGTAAGTGTGTGATTTTTGTCACTCCTACTGATAGAAGTACGCTCAGGACCTGGCAAAATGAAGGGCGAGTATAGTATTGTTCGTAGGCTTGACAGAAAGGCCTTTTTATGCTAATTTAAAATACGTAACTTACATTGCAATCTGACTCGCAATCAAATGGTAATCGTCGCTGAAGAGACCGAAAATGCCACATTGTATTTCGCTCCCCGCCTATTATTTTTATCATTATTATTTTGTTAATATAATAATAATTATTGTCATTATTATTATTATTACTATCCTCATTATCATTACCATTATTAGCATCTGTTATTATTATCATTATGCTAATTATTATCATTACCATTATTATTATTATTATTATTATTATTATTATTATTATTATTATTATTATTATTATTATTATTATTATTATTATTATTATTATTATTATTATTATTATTATTATTATTATTATTATTATTATTATTATTATTATTATTATTATTATTATTATTATTATTATTATTATTATTATTATTATTATTATTAGTAGTAGTATTGTTATCATTATTATTATTATTATTATTATTATTATTATTATTATTATTATTATTATTATTATTATTATTATTATTATTATTATTATTATTATTATTATTATTATTATTATTATTATTATTATTATTATTATTATTATTATTATTATTATTATTATTATTATTATTATTATTATTATTATTATTATTATTATTATTATTATTATTATTATTATTATTATTATTATTATTATTATTATTATTATTATTATTATTATTATTATTATTATTATTATTATTATTATTATTATTATTATTATTATTATTATTATTATTATTATTATTATTATTATTATTATTATTATTATTATTATTATTATTATTATTATTATTATTATTATTATTATTATTATTATTATTATTATTATTATTATTATTATTATTATTATTATTATTATTATTATTATTATTATTATTATTATTATTATTATTATTATTATTATTATTATTATTATTATTATTATTATTATTATTATTATTATTATTATTATTATTATTATTATTATTATTATTATTATTATTATTATTATTATTATTATTATTATTATTATTATTATTATTATTATTATTATTATTATTATTATTATTATTATTATTATTATTATTATTATTATTATTATTATTATTATTATTATTATTATTATTATTATTATTATTATTATTATTATTATTATTATTATTATTATTATTATTATTATTATTATTATTATTATTATTATTATTATTATTATTATTATTATTATTATTATTATTATTATTATTATTATTATTATTATTATTATTATTATTATTATTATTATTATTATTATTATTATTATTATTATTATTATTATTATTATTATTATTATTATTATTATTATTATTATTATTATTATTATTATTATTATTATTATTATTATTATTATTATTATTATTATTATTATTATTATTATTATTATTATTATTATTATTATTATTATTATTATTATTATTATTATTATTATTATTATTATTATTATTATTATTATTATTATTATTATTATTATTATTATTATTATTATTATTATTATTATTATTATTATTATTATTATTATTATTATTATTATTATTATTATTATTATTATTATTATTATTATTATTATTATTATTATTATTATTATTATTATTATTATTATTATTATTATTATTATTATTATTATTATTATTATTATTATTATTATTATTATTATTATTATTATTATTATTATTATTATTATTATTATTATTATTAATATTAACTGTTAGTGTTATCACGGGCATCATCTTGGCGGGTTCACTTAGCTTCCTTCCGGTTATGCACAACCGCCCGGTCGTTATCCGTACCGGTTATACATAAAGATCCCATCACACTGGTACTTTTTTCCGTCAGCCTCCAAGACGAAGGCGAAGCCGGCCGTTTCATACATTAGACTCCAGAGTTCAAATGAGCCAAGGAATTACATTTACCAGAGGAAATGAAGCCTACTGTCTAATTCAACTATTGCTCCAAGAAACGTCCACTCCTCTTGCTTCTTACAACCACCTACCTTAATATCATCTTTGATTGTAGTGTACCTAATGATTTACAAAGTACAGATAATTTTGTACGTGTAGTGTTTGGGCGGCCATCTTTGCTATGTGACGTCACTTTTTTCATGCAAGCTCTCAATAAACTCTGGCTGGCTGAAGGTGCCTCTGCTTAAAGATATATATTTCCCTCCATTGGCTCACCTAGTTATAAAAATAACTTATAATTTATTGAAAATAACTCACAGGTATTTTTTTCACAATAGCCGTACTAGAATGTAGAATATAGCGAGAAACCTCGAGGTCACATAGAGTGTACCCACCTTCACTGAAAGTCATGATGTCTCGAAGATGTGAATATTGTATTTGATAGGCATAATAATGACTATTTTCCAACTGTTAGATTGGCCAAAACTTAATGTATTTTCTTTTATATACATCGATCAGCAGAAACAATTCATAGGATTTATTAATTTATGCATGCACATGAAATTTGCAATGGAAGTGAAAGTAATGTGGCTTTTTACATCCCTCTCCTTATTCCTTGGCTTAAAAAAAAGTTTTCAAGCTCAGGTGATTGTAGGACAAGGGTATGGGCATGGAGTTGCTTTTGAAAGTTTTCCTCTTATGAATTGAAGTGAATAACATATATTAACCTTCTCTTCTGGTACACCAATACAAACACAACAACGGTAGCAGTTCCGTTAATTTGAGTACCGACTCAACGGTTTCAGTAGTACCGGGAAGGTGTTGTTTCTAATATAACGAATTATTATCATTATTATATTTTGCTGTATGAAACAATATGTAAATGACACGGAGAAAATGCTATCTGGGCTTGTTGTAGAAATACATGTAACGATTTATCACGCTGGAGCCTATCAGAGGGATGCAAGCGAAGAAGAGTATTTGCCAGTGTGCGATTTCTATTATTCCAACAATTCATCTCTTTCTTTTTCTGGTTTATGGGCAGTAGGTATCATTCCCTAGGTTGTTTGTTGTTTTGTCTGCATCTGTATGAAATGGGTAGTATTCCATTTAACCTTCCCTGTACGCCCAAGAAACAGAGGTGA